GCCTTGTAATTGCAAACTATGCTCGGACCGAGCGCGCAACTAAGTGTCGGCCTGAGAACCGGGCACACCGGGCAGAAGCACCCGGAAGGAGCAGCGATATCAATCCACATCTATTATCGTTGTAGTCCATAAGCACCAATGGAGAACAGGTCCGAAGCTATTCCGCTTTGGTAGTGACCCATGCTTCTATATTTGGTCCGGACGTCAGGAACTGGTGATTCCAGCGCCGCAGACTCGATGCAAAACCATAGACACTAAATATCGAGGTAACACTGAAGTTGCAGCTCGTTCATTTACTATACCTTTCAATATTTCATCATGCCTTCCCTCTTACGACGCCCCTCTTCCTTGGCCAGCACTTCCAGTGAAGAAAGTGACTGGCTGAATGAACATGCGATTGTTAGCGACAAGGAGTACAATGCCATTTACTTCGATGGATACGCGGAGAAGCCCATCAGCGAGCAATTGGAGCCTATAGCCGTTGTTGGAATGGGTAACGTCAACTTTTCCCCTGAAGCCAGGTTCAATTTGATACTAACCCTGACGGAGTAGGATGTCGACTCCCAGGGAACGTCTCTTCTCCCGCCCAGTTCTGGGATATGATGATCAACAAAAGGACAGGGCGAACAGCCAAAGTTCCAGCTTCCCGATTCAACATCGACGCTCATCTTCACCCAAATAATGAACGCCCAGGATCATTCAATGTCCCCGGCGGATATTTCCTGGACAGCAGCCTCCAGGAATTCGACCCTGTCGTTTTCAACATCTCACCCGTGGAGGCGATGTGGATGGACCCTCAGCAGCGGAAACTCCTCGAGGTGGTCTACGAAGCGTTCGAGTCTGGTGGTGTTTCCCTCAATCAGATTGAGAACACCAAGACCGGAGTCTTCGTTGGCAGTTTCACCAGTGACTTCCAGCAGATGTCGTTCAAAGAGCCCGACTTTCGTCACAGCTATGCAGCCACGGGGGTCGACCCCGGCATCATTTCCAATCGTATCAGCCATGTTTTCAATATCTCCGGACCGAGTATGACTGTGAATACCGCGTGTTCATCGTCGGTATATGCGATGCATAACGCGTGCAATGCGCTGCGCAACAATGAGTGCAACGGGGCGGTGGTTGGAGGAACCAACTTGATCCTGACCGTCGACCAGCATATGAACACAGCCAAGCTAGGAGTCCTGTCACCCGATTCGACCTGTCACACGTTTGACGCGTCGGCCAATGGCTACGGGAGAGCCGAGGGTGTAGGCGCAGTCTACCTCAAACGTCTCAGCGATGCGGTCCGGGATGGCGACCCGATCCGAGGTGTGCTGCGATCTTCAGCTGTGAACAACAACGGAAAGGTTCCTGGGGTCGGCATCACTCATCCAAACCTGGAGGGACAGGCCCAGGTAATTCGTGACGCCTACGAACGTGGTGGTGACTTGGACCCGCGTCTTACAGGATACTTCGAATGCCACGGAACCGGCACTGCGATTGGCGACCCTCTGGAGGTGCACGCAGTCTCTCAAGCGATGAACAAGAAGGGCCCCCAGGGAATGGATTCCACACTACTGATCGGGGCTGTTAAGACCAACATCGGCCACAGTGAGGCTGCGAGCGGTCTCTCGGCCATCATCAAAGCAGTCCTGACCGTAGAAGCCGGCATCATTCCGCCCACTCGAGGAGTCGAGAACCCTAACCCAAACAGTGAGTTTTCCCTGATCCCTCCCCCCAGAGCACTTGAACTGATTCGTTTAATCAGTCGACTGGGAGAACTGGCACGTCAAGGTACCTAGTGTGCCCCAGCCTTTCCCAACCCACCTTCCTGTCCGACGAGTCAGTGTCAATAGCTTCGGATACGGCGGAACCAACGGCCATTTCATTGTCGAGGGCGCAGATTCACTAGTCCCTGGATATTCCCATGGCCGGAAAAGGACTAAGCCAACTGAGCGAGGCGTTTTCCACCAAAAGCGGCCCTACCTGCTGCCCTTTTCTGCACACGACAAACCCACGCTGATGCGCAATATCGAGGCGTATGCAAAGGTGTTAGACGATTACAATATCGTCGATTTGTCCTATACCCTGGCCAATCGGCGATCCAAGTTAGCGAGCCGCGGCTTCGTCGTCACTTGTCCCAACGAGACTACAAAGGCTTTCGGAGAGGTAGCCCAGTCTTTTGTTTTCGCGGACAAGAAGAAAACTCCCACTTTGGGATTCGTTTTCACAGGCCAAGGTGCCCAATGGGCACGCATGGGATGCGAGCTCATGTTGTACTATCCGAGCTTTCTGCGGACAATTCGCAAACTCGACCAAGTTCTTGGGGATCTCTCCAACGGCCCCGAGTGGACCTTGGAGGATGTCTTGCATGAAGATTCCTCAGAATCTCGCATCAATGAGGCTGAATTTTCTCAACCCCTGTGCACCGCGATTCAGATGGCGTTGGTTGATTTATTGGATTCTTGGGGGGTCAAGCCGGCGGTAAGTGCAGACTAGGGTTTTCACACGCTGCTAGATGTTGACTGATGCAATCAATAGGTTACAGTGGGCCATTCCTCGGGAGAGATCGCTGCCGCGTATGCGGCTGGTTTGGTTGGCTTCAATGAGGCCATCATCGCGGCTTACTTCCGCGGCAAGACCGTCAAGGATATCGACACCGATGGAGCCATGATGGCTGTAGGACTCGGCGCTGAAGCTGTCCAGCCCTATCTTTCTGGATACGAGGGACAAGTGGTGGTGGCATGCCATAATTCCCCAGCACTCGTGACATTGAGTGGAGATGCGGCTGCCATTGGTGCTGTGAAGGGCAAGCTGGACGCGGACAGCGTCTTTGCACGAGTCGTCAAGACGGGTGGAAAGGCATACCACTCGTTCCATGTGAAGCCAGCCTCCGCAGTTTACCACAAGCTCATGCACGAGGCAGCTTCCGAGGTTGAAGCAGGAAGTCGCAAGTCCACCAGGGCCGTGATGGTCTCCTCGGTCACGAACACCCCTCTGGATCCCACACAGCCGCTGAATGCGGACTACTGGTGCGCGAACCTGATGAGTCCCGTTAAATTAAACCAGGCAGTCCATACCATCGGATCCGATGCGCAATACAAGGTCGACGTTCTCGTTGAGATCGGACCTCACTCCGCGCTCAAGGGCCCCATCAACCAGATATGCCGGACGGAGAAATTCGACAAGATCGACTACCTCCCTACCATGCAACGTGGAGGAAACTCGGCGATCCAGCTATTAAACCTGGCCGGTCAGCTCTTCCTAAGGAACTTCCCCCTGGACTATGATCGGGTCATTGCAATTGAGCAGATCTCCCCGACAGGCAAGGTCCAACTGAAGAAGGGCAAATTACTGGTCGACCTGCCGCCGTATCAATGGAACTACCCGAAAGACCTCTGGGCAGAGCCGCGACAATCGACAGAGCATCGGGCTCCCAAGCATCCTCGACACGACGTGCTAGGTACTCGTATCCCAGGAGGCTCGAAAACTGAACCCACGTGGAGGAACTGTCTGCGGATTGTGGATCTGCCATGGCTAAAGCACCATTCGCTTGGCGGCGAGGCAGTATTCCCCGCTGCTGGCTACTTCAGCATGGCCATGGAAGCTCTTACCCAGGTAAATGAGGACAGTTCCAGTCCGATCGAGATAGCAGGATTTACTCTTCGGGATGTTTCGATAAAAGCGGCCCTCGTGGTTCCCGACGATGACGACGGGATTGAGACCCTGTTCGCTCTTCAGCTGAGTGTCTATTCGGATGACGCGGGGCGCGCCTGGTGGGACTTCAATGTGTCGTCGTGCTCGCGAGATGGCCACTGGAACAGCCATATGACCGGCACCGTCGGCGTCAATCCATGTGCTGCTAGACAACCCCCGCGACATGTCCCGACCTTCACCCAGCGAGCCACAGGAAAGGCGTGGAACCAGGCGCTGAAAACCGTCGGCTTCGACTATGGACCCTCCTTTCAAGACATGCAGAGCATTCGCACAGACGGAAAAAGCTACCAAGCAGCCGCATCGTCCGTGGTGAAAAGGAGCTCCGGTATAGTTGAAGGTGAATCTCGTTACGTCTTGCATCCGGCGTGTATGGATTCATGTCTTCAGCTCATCATTGTTTCGATCTACGCTGGTCGCATTCAGGACATGACATGTGGTGCCGTACCCATACAAGTAGACGAGGTCTCAGTTTGGTAAGTCTTGTATAGTTTCTGTTCGTTGCTACCAGACTCTTAGTATCAGAGCTAACGGGTTTATTGCACCAGGCAACCCTCCCAAACCCAGGAGGAAAAATGTGACGCACAGGCTTATGCTTGGACCGACGAGCGAGGATTTCGATCTTTCGTCTCGGGGACACAGCTGGTGGGAAGCGATGGCCAACTTCTCTTGTCTATCAAAGGAATGCGTTGTGTTTCCTACGAGGCCGCGGTGCCACAGAGTCGTGGGTCTGAGATCAAAGAGCAGCCGTTCATGCAAATGACTTGGGACATCGACATCGACACACTCACGGAATCAAGTCCGATTAAAGATCTCAGCACCAGCGACTTGGTGGCACTGGCTGCTTTCAAAAAGCCGGGTCTCAAGGTACTCGATCTGGCGGCCCAGGACCCAGTTTCAATCTGCAAAACCAGCGATTTGATCAACTATACGGCCACGACAGCCACTGATGCCCAAGTTGACGTGCTCAAACAAGCCATTTCTGGTTATCAGCGAGCAAGTGTTCTAAAAGTCGATCCTGCGATGGAGCTTGAGCAACAGGGTTTGAAAGGCAACGAGTTTGATCTCGTCCTCTTGGGAACTCCGACGGAAGGCTCCAAGCTTGAGTGGCTACTGGCACCCGGCGGTCGAGTCATTGGAGACTCCGATAAGTGCTTGTCCTTGAATGAACGCTTTCAGGTGATGAGATTGATGAATGGCGTTGCCATCGCCACACCCAAACAAGCGCAGAATGGTGCTGCCCTTAGCAACGGCAACGGTGCCACTGGTGATTCAACAATTACCATTGTCTATCGCGACAACGTCACTGATATTCCCGGAGAGCTTCTTCAAGCCCTTAAGCCGCTGGGATCGTGTCGACTCGTTGCACTAGCCGATGCACAAATTGCGCCGGGCAAGCACGTGGTGGTAACCTGCGACCTTGAAGGGCCCTTCTTGTCGACACTCCAGGAAAACGAGCTGTCTCGCTTGCAGGAAAGTCTCTCCAATGCCTCTTCCGTCCTTTGGGTGACGGTGGGAGGGTTGATCAATGGCACGATGCCAGAACAAGCCATGGCCTCCGGACTCGCGCGCTCCGTGACTTCGGAGATGGCATCGCTCGACTTGACGACTCTCGATTTGGACCTGAGTAACACGTCTCTGAACTGTGCTGTCCATGAAATCGTCCGAGCTGTGGAACGGCAGATCACCCACGCGGACGGAAAGGAATCAGAATACTGCGTCGCGAATGACCTGGTGCACATAAGTCGAGTGGTGGCGAATGATACGCTCAATCATCACTACGGGCCCCAGAGCTCAATCGTGCAGTCTGTGCCTTTCAAACAGTCTGACAAGCTGGTGGGAATGCCGCAAGCCTCGAAGTTGGTTTTCACTCATGATGTCCGGGCCGACCAGACTGTTGGGCCTGATGAAGTCCAGGTTCGAGTGGCCTTGAGCGACCTCAACAAAGAAGATGTCTTTGTTCGCAACGGTACCGATCCACTAACAACATTCTCCCATGAAATTTACGGAGAAGTCACCCAGAAAGGATCGAACGTCAAGGAGCTCGAAGTTGGTGACTACGTCGTTGGATTCAGTCACGACAGGCTGGCCAGCTTCCAGACCGTCCATGCGGGCATGGTCCAGAAAGCCAACGCGGGCGACGTACCGGAGGAGCTGGTGACGTTGCCAATGGCATATGCAACCGCCTTACACGGTCTTGACACTTTGTCGAAGGTGGAGCTCAACGAGGTAGTCCTCATTCTCCACGGCAGCGGTAACTTTGGTGCCGCGGCCATCGCACTCAGCAAACACATGGGCGCCAGAACGTACGTGGCGGTTCCAACGAGTACGGAGGCAGCGACTGTCGCGGCACTATTTGGTCTGCCCCTGGACAATATCATCTTTGATGTTGACAACAACCTTATGTCAACATTGAAGCAACGTACCGGTGGGGTAGCGGCGGATGTGGTCTTCAGCTCAGCTTATATTTCACCCACTGTTGCTCACGAGTGCTGGAGAGATATCGCGACGTTTGGTCGATTCATCGAGATCGGCCGCAAGAATAGCTTGAAGCGCAGCGCTTTGGATACGGTCCCCTTGGCCCGATGCGCGAGCTATATGGCATTTGACATCATTGAGCTATACCACCAGAAGCCGCAACTCCTATCCGCGTATCTGCGCCAAACCCTTTCACTCTACCGACAAAACGCAATTTCGCTGGTCTCTCCCATCGAAAAGCGGAACATTGCCGAATACGACCATGCAGTGGCAGCTTTCAGCGACGACTTTGCTGCTAAGAAGACGGTGATCGAATATGCGGAGTCGGATGGCCTGATCCACGTTCAGCCTCGTCGGATGCAAATCCGCTTCCGGCCTGACGCGACCTATTTCTTAGTCGGCTGTCTTGGAGGTCTGGGTCGCAGTTTGACTTCCTGGATGGTTCAGCGCGGCGCTCGTCGGTTCGCATTTCTGTCACGATCGGGTACTGACAAGGCGGACGCTGCGGATCTAGTCCGTGCCCTCGAAGGAATGGGCGTAACCTGCCAGGTCATTCGAGGAGATGTCGCAAACAAGGAAAACGTTCGAGCGGCGATCCAGAGCATTCCGGCCAGCCACCCTGTCCGCGGTGTGGTTCATGCCGCCATGGTGCTTCGCGTAAGTAGATCTATGCCTTGTTTCTTTGTCAAGTGGATCACTAATTGTTACTTTTAGGATGGTCTCTTTCATTCCATGTCCCATGACAGTTGGAAAACTTCAATCGGCCCCAAGGTCACGGGAGCGATTAACTTGCACGAGGTGCTGGCGAACACGGACCTGGATTTCTTCCTATGCACCAGCTCGACCTCGGGTATCCTGGGAACTCCTGGTCAAGCCAATTACGCAGCAGGAAACAGCTTCCTGGACTCTCTTTGCCGGCATCGCGTATTGAGAGGGCAGCCAGGATCGTCTCTGGTGCTTCCCATGGTCCAGAACGTTGGGGTTGTGGCAGAGAACCCCGAGATTGAGGCCGCGCTGCGTCGCAAGGGCATCTACGGAATCGATGAGACGCACTTGCTGGAGGCGATCGAGGCGGCAGTCTTGACGCAAAGTAGCACCCATCCGGCCGATCATCTCATCGTCGGTTTGGATCCCAGCAAGCTGAGCGAGTCGCTGTCGAGCAACGACGTCACTGACAGTTTCTGGACCGAAGACGCGCGATTCAAAGGCATCATGGCGGCAGTCAATGCAAACGCATCAGCCAATCACGGAAGCGCAGAAGATACGATCCTTAACGCGGTCAAGCGAGCGGGCTCACTGGACGAGGCTCGGGGCATGGTCGCAGAACACTTCACCACCAGGCTCGCTCGGCTACTTCTCCTCGAATCCGATGTATTCGAGCCTGACACGATCCCTATCGTCGATTACGGGCTGGACAGTATGATCGGAGCCGAGTTGCGCAACTGGATCTTCAAGGAATACGACCTGAATATTCCTTTCCAGCAGCTGTTGAGTCCGAGTCTCACAATCACCAAATTTGCGGGCGTTGTCTGCGAAAACCAAGGACTGGCCTGACGGGGACATGCCAGAACACAAGGGATGATGGCATGGTAGGGTTGAAGCAAAGCAGATGTACCTAGAAGAGATCGCGGCAGCGGCCTCTGCCATACCATAGCATATAGTCGTCGAAATGGTAATGAATGGATACCCAGGAGATGGTGTTGATTCTTAGTTCTGAATGATAGAAAGAAGTTGCAATGCTTGCAGAGGTTTGTATGATTTGCATTGCTTTGCCAAGACCTTCAGTAAATATTTTAAAAAACTTATTATTTACTTCATTTTTATACTATTTAATTAGAAATAAATACTATATATTAGAATTAATTATATCAGAACCCTAATTTATAAAGTAATAGTAACAGAAATTATAAAAGTATAGTTAAAATCTATATGGAGATGACGCATCTCCATGCCCTAAACATAATATATACATTCACACGTTGACTGAATTATATCGAGGTAATATTTGGAAATATTCTGACATTCGTGTAGACGATGTCTTCAATGTCGAGCAAAGTATTGACTATATATTGACTATCTAGAGTACAAAACTGATTGCCTCTCTATTCCACGGTCTCATCTCTCCGCCACACAAACAGTACCGCCGCACCCCCAGGGCCCAGCAGGGCAACACACACAACCACCTCCAGCGCTCTCCAGAGCAACCCTGCCTTCGTCTGCACCCTCATCCCACCTTCCTGTGTTATCTTCAGAACCCACATCCACAACGCCGCGTACCCAACCCACTGGTCCCACTGCATGAAGTTCAACACTCCAGCACCAATACTGTCTAACAGCAAGTTCCTGGGAAATAGCAAGGTCTGTGGTGCCAGCGCCTCCCGAGCGGACGCCACAAAGAGGGAGGGGAACACCACGGTGCTCAACGAAGTCACGACCGTCCCGATGTGGACGATAGCGCTGCCGATGACAGCGAAGAGATAAACCGGTCGGGCCGCGTGCAAGTAGATCTTGGATGACCTTTCTGCCGCGGGCTCCGGGGAGATGTTGTAGATGTGGCCTCCGCACCAGCTCAATAGGCTGTGAATCAATCCAACCCACACGGGAAACGGCGTCCATAGGGCGATGGCGGCCTGTTGGGCCGGGTACGAGACCACGTTTGGAGACGGGAGGCCCAGCATGATGCTTGGGACGACGTACCCCAGAACCATCGACCACGGGAGATACCGCAGTTGACGTGCGGCAGGGGCTCGCACGTTATGGCTGGCCTCGAGATGGAGAGCAAAGTAGATCGGGCCAATGCAGGCCAAAGTGAAGTTCTGCATCGCTAGGGCCCAGAGCGCCGCTCTAGAGAAACACCAAGTCAATCATTCTGTGTACTATACCTGGGTATACTCGCCTTGGAGATACAGGAACCCATATCACTGATTACTTACTTGGCGACCATGTGTCTCTCTCCCCTGCGGATCCCCTCCACCCACACCAGGGTCCAGATGCCCACAAGCTGCCCAAGGAAGTATATCCCGTTCATACTGGTCGCGGGGTGACTGCCATCGACCGCTTCCCAGAAGAAGAGCACCATGATGGTGCACCAGTAGTCGATTGGTGCGATGCCGGTGAATCGCAGACGCAGGGGCTCATGGGTGCCAGGGATGCAGGGGACCGCTGCGCCCCGGATATGGAGCATGCGGTCCAAGGTGCCGTTGCTTAAGGATGCGCCCCATGTTATGTAGAAGGCGAATGCAGAGAGGCCGAGGAGGGCCGGCACAACACGCGAGGTGCCCATTGCAGCAGGTCGTTCGGTGCAAGGTGAAAATGCCCGATGGAGAGCTCTTACCAGACACACGACTATTATATTCAAGAATTTACTAGCGTCCGGTGCAATTTGAGTATGACACTCCATTATTGGCTTCAGGTCCTTCGGGGTAATCTGAAGCTAATGGGATTTTCGCCCCGGCACGATATCAATCGGCCCGAACCACCGAGCTTCAGTTCACCTGCGGAGATGATGAGCCACTAGTCAATGTTTGCCGTGATAATTTGATCATCTCGATGAAAACTTGAGTCAACTTGGATAAGCGTAGGCAATTGCAAGGAAGATTCTATGTTTATCCATCCGCTGGTGAATATTGTTGGATACAATACTGTTAGACCTACCACCATCCAGCTGGTGTTTTCTGGTCGAAGGATCGAAACATGCTAACAAATATTGATTGTAGCTATGTCGAATCTTCGGAATCCCTGTACTGTATCCGACCAATTGGAGATATCAATGACTCTGAGTTGTATTACCCCTATTACGAAGCTATTTATGCCTAGTATAATGACTAATTCCTTGGCATCGGATCTATAGTATCTCCGGTTTCATGCAGTATTCGTAGGGTATTGTTGACAAGCTATATATGCCTAGGGTATAAACTTTAAGTTGATGGTTTGGCATATATTCTCTTGACGTTCTGTGTTGTTTAAGCAGTCTGTGAACATATGTATTGAAGAGGGAGGAACGCGCGGTGGCAGCCATGAAACTGGCGTATCGACGGAAGCAGGACAAACCACCAAACAGAACTAGAAAGTCTGTGGTGACGGTCGTAGCGATGCGTTGATGACAGATAGCGATGCGAAGCTCATATCAAGCAGGGGGTTCAATTCTTCATTCTGTCGGGGATGTGTAGAAGCTAAGTCTAATGCTATGAGCGAGACAAGCCTATTTTTGTTAGGCACCAAGGCAGAACTTTGTCTTTAGGAAATACCAAGGTCGAATGGCAATCCCCCACTACAGTAAATATATATATGTGTGTGTGTGTAGATGGTCAAATCTTTGACTGGGAGCGTAGCGATGGAAAAGCAATAGATACAACCGCGGGTTGGAAGATCCAAAAAATACGCCTTGACCTTTCACTGGTTAATATTTATATTTGCAGCAGAGGAGATCGGATGGCTAAGATATAAGTTAAAGCATTTGATACAATCTTTTAGAGCGCACCTGAGTGCTAAGTTGAGATCAAATTATCTAGTCTGACTGACGAACAGAATATATAATTGCTGAGCGAGTTTGCTCGAAGCACCGCAGAGACGTTATCAAGGCATATTTCCATGAAGAGACAATGATCTATAATTCCAAGGAGCCCATTCTAGTACTATTTACAGGGCAGGAATGAGCATCTTCTTCACGTATCGTCCAGATACAAAGAAGACATCCTGCTAGTGTCTGCTCCTGTTTCTTCCCACTCAGCCTAATTTCCACCAAGAATAGACTCGGCGATTTTCTCGGCAAACATGTCTAGGAGAGTAATATGTTAGTAGTGAAAGCGTACGAAAGGATGCCGCTAGCAAACTCACAGATAGACGACATGGGATGGCCAGGAGGACAGAACGGAAAGGCGCTGGCATCAACCACGCGAAGACCGGTAACACCGTGCACGCGAGCTCGCGAGTCCACGACGGCCGAGGTATCCTTCTTAGGTCCCATTTTGCCTAGATGGGGTAAGGGGAAATGTCAGTCTCAACTCTACTTTCGGCTCTGTTGCACCGCCAGATAACAATTCGATAAGCTGCTTTAGTACTCACAGGTGGATGTCCCGTGGAAGATCATGTTCATATCCTTTCGCATCCACTCGAGGATCGCCTTCTTGCCGGTGAGCTGGGGGCCAGGCGAAAGCTCGCCCAGGAGGACGGCAGGATCCCAGTTCGAGGCAACCTCGCGGAGACGCAAGAATGCGGCGTAGGCTTGCTCGACGTCCTCATCCTCTTGCAGCCAGTTGGGGCTGATGAGGGGAGGGTCGAGGATGCTGTTGCTGGAGATGGTCATGTTGCCGCGCGACTTGGTGGAGAGGAGGACTGCGGCGAAGGTGAGGAGGTTGTCGTTCGGACCGATAGAGCTCACCACGGGGCCGTTCTCAAGGGGCAGAATCTCGACGTCAGGCCAGTCCGAGGCATATGTATCCAGGTAGGCCCGAGTGGACTTGCTGAAGTTGGCCCGGTAGGATGCGGGGAACTTCTCAAAGGCTGGATATGGATTGTCAGCGTCGCGCAGAAATGGGTAAGGCACTACGTAGTGCGAAGAGGACTCTTACCTATGCCCTGGCCTGTGCCGATGCCGGACAGAGGGCCCGATTGATGGTTGATATACTCGGACAAGGCGGACGCGACGCTCTCGGGATTTCCTGCCTGTAACTGGGTATTCGTAGTGACATTGACTGCTAAGACCATGCCCACCACCGGTTGGTCCTGTCAAAAGGGTCAGTGGCCGCCCAATTATGTGATTATTGGTGATATTTATACGCACATGTTCATTCTGGCCGACGCCGGGCAGATCGGCGACAACATCGATGCCGAATTGCTGCAGCTTCTCAGAAGGTCCAACACCTGACAGCATCAACAGCTGAGGCGAATGCCACTGATAAAACATCAATTAGATGATCTTTGTCGATGAGTATACGATTCAACCATGGAAAGACTCACCACTCCCGCCGAAAGGATAACCTCTTTGGTCGCATTCAGATGGAACTTGAAGTCTGACGTGGCAATGTTGCTCTGCACCTCAACGCCTGTGGCTTTCTTCTTATTGTCGAACAAGATCTTCGTTGCCAGGGCGTTGGGGTAGATCTTAATACTAGAGCCCCGCGCAGCCGCCTGGAGGAACGAGGATTCGGAGGTATCGCGAGTGGCGTAACGGGGGTCGACTGTCGCCGTCGCCGTTCCGTATCCGATCAGCTTACCGCTGTTGAACCCCTTTATGGGGCTCAGGCCTGACTTGGCAAGCGCCTCACTAAGAGATGGTCCATATGGGCCTTGATAGTTGCCATAGGACACGTGGAGAGGCCCGCCTTTGTCGCTGAATGCCGATGGGTCATAGGTAATGTTGAGAGACGGGTCAATCTTGGTGAAGTCCGGAGGTATAAAGTGCACGCTCTTCTTAAATGCTGGATAAACATTGTCCCAGGCCCAGAAGTTGTCGCCAACTTCTTTCGCCCATTGGTCCATGCTTCCTTCCGAGGGTCTAATGAAAAGAGCAATGTCAACATTGGCCAGAGGAATAGCAGGAATCAATCTTCCTTCTTACCGTTGATAGCCCATGTAGTTTGCCGCGGAGCTGTTGTCAGAACATCGTTAGCCATTGGTGTCGTTAATCCTGGCATTCTCTGTATATGAAGACTCTCTTACCTGCCGCCAAATGTCTGGCCTCCAGCATAAAATATTTCCCGGTCATCGTAACCCTTTTGGGGCACCGTGGTCAGACCCCATGTTGTCGGTGTGGTAGCAGAACCAAGGGGGAAGGAGATCGTGTTGATATAATTGTATCCAGGCACTTGAGTACGGTTGCCGTCGAGGATTTCGTAAAAGCTTCCTGCCTCGAGGACAGCAACAGTATAGTTGGCCGGGTCGAGCGCTAGCCGAGCTGCAATCGCGTTTCCAGCATTACCACCTCCAACAATCTAACCGTCCATGGGTCAGCAATCATGAAGCAGCCTAAAACAAACACTTGCATAGCGGGAACTGCAGACTCACAATGTAGTCATAGGTTTCATTGTAGCCAGGCCTGCCAAACGAATTACCGTAGATGTGCGTAACGCCTTGCGCATCGACAAAGGCGCCAATCGTGTCCTGTTGCGTGTCGGACGCCGCTTGCACGGTGGCCAAGATGGCCGCAGTCCAAGCCCACAATTGAACCTGCATGGTGACGGTGATAAACGAGCTGGTTTTTGCAGCTAGCAAGCGCACTCAAGGGATACCTAGATTCTCTTCGAAGTGGCCGCCTTGAGTCTTCTTTATTTCATTTGTCAAATTAGTCCCTTCATAACTTAGGATTAGTCGGGCCGAGTAGATTGAGGCCGTGAATGCCCGTGTCCTGCATACGAGATTAAGTCTTCCAACACAAGGCTACCAGCCGGACATGACAATACATTGTTGAACGAGCAAATCAACACCTGTTCATGCACTGCCTACTGCCCCTGTTTTTCCACGTGGGTCGTGCCTGACTATCGACTGCAACCATTCAGATCCTGTCTAGCTGCGATGTGCATGGGGCTGTGTAGTGTTCGGCTGGCCCCTGCGATGCCGCCAATCGGTCCGAATTGCCCGAGCGCGGCCCGAGCGCGGCCCGAGCCGCCCGCCATTTTCTGACTAGCCGAGAACTGTTGCACGCAGTTTTCGGACTCCCGATTTGCATTGATGTAGGGGCCGAAGGAACGATGGATTTTTATCCTGGCAGCAGGCCTGAGAAACATAGCGAATCTTACGGTGTCCCATCAACATCTACCTCCGATTATTGGGCAGATGCAAGGTCCAGTTAGGGTATACTAATTCTCTGATGCGCCGTAAGCTAAGAGGTAAGAACCAAGTGCCATATCAAAATCGCGGAGCTGCCGGAAGGCCCCATGCAGGTGCTTCTAGTGCTTAAAGTGCAGGATTTCTCAAATCCCTTTAGCAGCCATTGCTCCCGTAGTATGCTCTTTGCGCCCCCAAACTCAACGCCATCACCAAATCCTCCGCCTCCACCACTCTGCCCGTCTTTCTATTTTTGTTTATTTCGTTAGGTCCAGCCATACGAGAGCAATGACTGCGCCATCGCAAGGCCGCCACCCAACCGTGACTGCTACCAGCCTTGCCGCCCTCTACGCTCCACAAATCAAAGGGAAGATCGTTCTGACGACAGGGGTCTCGCCTTCTGGATTGGGGGCTGCCTTCGTCAAGGTAATTGCGAAATGGGAGCCTTCCGTGCTTATCCTGGCGGGTCGCAACGCGTCCAAGGTCCAGGCCACTGCGAAAGGCCTGGTTGAAGAGGGGTCACTCTCACCTAGCCAGGTGCGAACGCTCGAACTGGACTTGGCATCACTTGACGCGGTTCGGGCGGCTGCGACAACAATAAACAACTGGAAGGATGTTCCATCCATTGATATCCTGGTAAACAACGCAGGAATCATGGCGGTGGATCATGCCGTGTCTCCAGACGGCTACGAATCTCAGCTGGCGACCAATCATCTCGGTCCATTTCTCTTTACGAACTTGATCATGGGTAAGATTCTAGCTTCCGCTGCGCCTCGTATCGTTATGGTCAGCAGTGATGGCCACCGGCTCTGCCCATTCCGGTTCCACGACTACAACTTCCGAGTAAGTTGACCCCACAACTCCCACATCAGTGGTTAACGAGGACAGGACGGCGAGACGTATAACCGGTGGCAGGCGTATGGCCAATCCAAGTCAGCCAATATGCTCATGGCCCTCTCGCTGGCGCGGAAACTGGGATCGAGGCACAACCTTCTGGCCTTCAGCCTGCATCCGGGCGTCATCAACACCGCTCTAGGCGACCACTTGGATTGGAACACGGCGTTCCCCGCACTGCGTTCGTTTCTCTAACAAATCCACCCTATCAGGTAAATCTCAAGGGCTCATTGTCGTATGTAGTGGAGATCGATCGATTCTTTGGGAACCCACAAGCGTGGATGACGTCCTTTCCCTTCGTCTCGCCGGATCAAGGGGCCGCCACGCACGTCTTTGCTGCGTTTGATCCAGATATTTCAGGTCAGATTATATGTTATTTGTAGGTCGATAATGTGGCTGATATCAATAGAACACAACGGCGCGTACCTTCAGGACTGTCACATCGCAGACCCATGGACGGAGACAGTCAAGCCCTGGGCGACAAGTGCGGTAGAGGCGGAGAAGCTGTGGAAGATGAGCGAGCAGCTTGTTGGTCAGAAGTTTGACTATTGAAAGGTGAAGCGTGAGTCTAAGTCAATTACCTTATAGAAGAAACTATACTTTTCTAAATTACTGATCCTAAGCATGCGAGACATAGACAAGACCTACATCTTCACGTCCACGTAAGCCCGAGGTACCGTCGCGTAAAAGTCGTTCATTAACTCATCATAGGCTCGGCTAGATAAATATATTAAATAAAGCATTCTTACTATATGGTCAAATTTTAATAAAATACAACTACTGTATTTGGAAGGGAACTATAAAGAGACTTTTGATTTGGGATCTGATATAGTTGAACCTTATTTTGGGACTGGGCGCCTATCAATGGGCCCTTGGCTCGGTTTGGCCCTGGATGTGGGGCCCGTAGCCCAACCAGGCCCATTGCGGAGGTCTAGGTTCCGCCTTGTGATCAATCATTTGCTCGGACAATGCAGAATTAACATCGTAACACTCCTGAAAAAACCTCCGAATCTTCTCCGTCCGCTCGTGCACCTGTCCCTCGCACGCATGAAGCACCCCCTCCAGCGCCTCCGTACGCGGCACATCATTCATCATCCCCTCCCAGGCAGCCCAGTTCCTTGTCTCCGCCATATCATGCACCTCGCGCACCCGCATCTCTAACGTCTCAAGCACCCCCATCCAGTTCGCGTCCGCCGCAGCACCCCGGCCAATTCGACCAGGGGTCTTGCGCACCCACGCCAGATACTCCGCCACCACGGAGCCGATTCCTGCGATCTCCGCCTGCGTGGAGAACGCCGCGGTCGCGAAGCCGGTGAAGCTCGATAGCATGCGCTGCCGGTCTTGGTGATGCGGGTCGTCGTACTCCGGGGCTGTCTGTGGGAAAGAACTTAATGGGGGCGAGTAGGAGGAGCCGGGCGGGGAATTCAGGGCGCGGATCTCGCGCAGTGGGGGGATGTGGGAGTGAGATGTTGAACTGCGTGTTGGTGCTGTGGTAGGTGAAGGAAGAGGAAGAGGAGGAGGAGGGAGAGGCGCGTCCACGGAGAAGGGCAGGGAGTCAGATTGCGGGCCTACGTGCTGAAGGCGCGGGTTATGAGGGACATAAGAATGGAAGAAGCTCGAGTCGGTGGGGTCTGGCCCTAAGAGCGGGTCCCCACTGCTTCGGGGCGACGGGAGGCACGGATCGAGGAGACAGTTGGCGTATTCGAGGCTCATGGCGGATTCGGGCATGGGAGGGGTGAGATGGGGGCTGCCCTTGAGCCTCTGATGTTGTCGAAGCAACGAGGTTTCCGTCATATCTAGACAGGAAAGGCTGGTCAGTCCTGAGTCGAAACGGATGAGTTGAAAAGGACACTTGCCCACTCGGGCTCTCAGGCTTTCGATGGTCTGGAGCAAGTCAGCTTTGGTGGGACAGCTGGTTGGCGTGTAGACACAGGTCTCGCCTGCACGCAGGCATCGTTGGCACGACGGCTGCTCGCCATCGCAGCGTACTTTCCGGTCTCTGCACAGCTTGCACGCGATTCGTCGGGAGCTATTCATGGTTTCGCCTGTCATTATTCTTTGGGATCGTCTGTCCGTGGTGGGTGCTGGTTAAATAGGAGCATGGCGTATCCCCTGTGGGTGATAGCCCCCTGTGGGTTATACGCCCACCTGCAGGCGATGAACGAGTTGTGGCGACTAGCCAATGGTTCTAGGAGATGGAGTCCCAGTAGGATCGCACTATTTTAGATCGAGACACGTCGCAGAGTTTCAGAAATGCAGACGGTTTGATATTCCTGATAACCGGCCCCTGTAATTTTTTTACTAAAATTACGGACCCTCGCTTGCGAGGGTCCGCCACCCATATGCAACTTTTTTCTTACGTTTTACTTCAACCATCATTTACTACCCTACGATATAGTAAAATAAATAATTAAATATATTAAACAAATCAATTAGATACTAGTCCATTTATATACAAAAGGAAATTAAATTCTAGCACGTTTTTTAGCCCTTCCATGCTTCCTGATTTCAATCAAAACCTTCTTCCATTTCCGCCTTGTTTTTTCTTGGTCGTTTTTCTCGGTCAATTTATATTCTTTATACTTCATTTCTTTGACTTGGCTGGAACTGATGATACCGGTGATTCGTATATGACGGCGCGAACTGTTATATCTAGCGTGGCGTGCCCCCATAATAGCTTGTGTACTATCGAATTCCCGCTGTAGCTGGAGAGCTAAAGTAGCCTGGGCCTCAGCACCCTTTGCAAGCTTTGCTAGCCCTTCTTTAAACCGCTGAGTAGTGGGATCGTACTGATTGAGACGATTACTGATTCTTCGTATTTTCTCAGCGGTTTTTGGAGTACTAAACTCATTGTTTTGAGAGCTAGTTGATGGGGTATCCAGCCGGGGCAAATTGTCATCGTATGGATCGTACAACTCCAATTCATCAGTAATAAGTTTAGGATTAATAGGCCGGAGGCCAGTGAATCTAAAACCAAGCTTAATTGTATGCGGCCGGAAGGTTTTTTGACGTAGTTCGGCGATTGAATGTAGGAATTCATCCTTCGAGAATTTACGGCACCCACTTATAGTAGCGGCTTCGACAGCCTCACTATGCCAGTTTTATATACACTAAAAACCCCTACATCGAGGGGTTGTAGTATATGACTGGCATGCGACAGTAAGAAGAATAAAATGATATTATTCTTCTCACAAAAGTTGACAAATTGACGCGTTAAATGTGATCCGAAACGGTCGCAAAGAACGAGTCTTTTTCCACCAAATGTACGACCAATTGTCCACTTATGGAATAGCTGGATCCATTGATATGCTAGGGTATCATTGATATACCCTGCATCGGTAACAGCTATATGCTCATCGCTATCAATAGCGTCAAACCAGCGTAGTAGTGCCTGTTTTGCACTTAAAATTATAAGTGGTGGACAGACAAAACCATCGGCCGAAACAGCCTCTAAAACTGTAACAGATTCACGATTGGTGACAGATCCATTAAATAGCTTCTTTTTTGGATGCCTGGTAATGATCAATTGATCGCGTCCGACGCCAATTTGGAAGCCAGTTTCGTCAAAATTGTAGATATCTTGTTGGTGTATACCATGCTCAGTAATAACACGTTGGTAGTCATTAAACCACCTCTCAACAACTGATTTGTCAAGTGCACTAGCTCTTTCAATATCTAGAGCTCGCCGGCGTCGTATATAGTACTGGGGATTACGATTAAGAAAACGCTTTAGCCAATGCTCGCCAATTTGTGGAGGTGGTTGCAGATCGTCATTGTGGTCTTCTTCAAGAATTGAACTAGCTGCAATAGCTATTTGGCGGCGATTTATTGATGCACCGACCGCGTCAAAGTAATCAATATAATCACATAAAGCTTGCTCTTGTACAGAACTAAGCTTCTTGCCATTGGGTTGTCGTTGAAAAAGTGATTTTCCGCCTTTCCATCGCCGGCGTAGTCGGTGTACAGGAACCGCGAATTCTCGCGCAGTTTTCGCAATATTGGGTTTAGATTGCTCAGAGAGGGTCCATTTCTAGCTGAATCTGCTGCTCTATTTCTTTATTGGTTTTAGGCATGGTTGGTGGGGTGGTTGATGATCAAAGTAAAAAGTTAGGATTTAAAAAAAAAGTTGCATATGGGTGGTATGTTGCATATGGGTGGCGGACCCTCGCAAGCGAGGGTCTATAATAAATGTAATTTATGAAAGGGCCTACTGTACACGCGGTTAAAGATAATGCCCGTATATTGAATCACGAATCCGGAAACAGCGCTAGAGGACACTAAATGGAGGTAAGCTGGTCGCCAAGACGCGATGCGCAGGGATAGGGCGGCCAATCGAGAGTCCGAGACAAAACACTTTGGTTGAGGCCATCCGGAGGCCAGCATTCCGGAAGGAGCAGCCTCATCAGCCACGAGGGGGACTAGAATCTCACGGACATGAAGGCTCTCCTCGAACACCTTTTGGGATTGTTTTCTCGGCGTTCTGGCCAGCAGTCGCGAATCTCACCGAGGCCTGACATTCCCGCCCCCAAAGCCACATCGATGGACGGACAATAAGCACCGAGTTCGATCTACTCCCAATGGACTCCTCGGACCGTGCCGCTCGGGATCTGCTCCGATGCGATGGCCTGTATTCCACGGGCAAGGCATCAAAATGCGATGAGAGAGTGTCTCGAGATAGACATTTAGATCGGAAATCTTTTAAAACCTCACGCGGTTTGATTTGGGTGGATTGATTACTCACTGATTCTCCCACCAATTCATCCTACCCTTAGAATAGAATCACAGTGACGATGTCGAACGGCTTACACACCGCGAACATGCGCCAGCATGACACGGGTGCTGCGGGCAGCGCCAGCAATAGTGGCGATGGGAGACCCTTCCACCGCAGTGTTCCGGTTGCCATTGTGGGCATGGCCTGCAAATTCGGAGGAGACGCTACCAGTCCCTCGAAACTGTGGGACATGTGCATGGAGGGTCAAGACGGCTGGGGGGCCATTCCCCACGAGCGATTCGATCTGAAGTCTCTCTATCATCCTGACCAGCAGAGATTCGATCGGGTCAGTCATTTCCCCCCGCAGATGCATATTATTGAGTTGAGCAGAGAAGCGAAGAAGAAGAAGAGAAAGTTGACTCGTCAATCAACAGCATCATGTCCGCGGTGGATTCTTCTTGCAGGACGACCTGAAACGATTCGACGCAGCGTTCTTCAACCTTTCTGCCGAGATTGCCAGTGTTCGTGTGCCTTGACCCCGATTGCATTGCAAACCACCTGCAGCTACTAATGCACGAGGCATACATAGGCGATGGATCCGCAACTGCGGCTGCTCATGGAATCTGCATACGAAGCCATCGAAAACGGTCAGACCCCCCCCCAATGACCCCCAAGGAGTGAGTGAGCGTCACTGACAGACATGACTGGGTAGCGGGCATCCCGATGGAGAGCTTCTCTGGGTCCAATGCGTCAGTGTTCACTGGGACATTTGCAAGTGACTATTTCGACACGCTGATCCGCGATCCCGAGAATCTGCCGGCCTCGTTCATAACCGGGAATGGAGGGGCGATGCTGTCGAACCGCATTTCGCATTTCTATAATCTCACAGGGCCTAGTATGACGATTGACACGGGCTGCTCGTCGAGTGCCGTCGCCATTCACCAGGGATGCCGGAACCTCCAAGCGGGGGAATCAGACCTGTCTTTGGTTGGTGCATCTTCTGTGCTATTGAACCCCGACATGTTCATCGCCATGTCCAACTTGAATGTGCTGAATGCAGAGGGGCGGTGCTATTCATGGGATCACCGCTCCAATGGGTACGGCCGCGGTGAGGGCGTCGCAACCCTGTTGCTGAAGCGCCTGGACGACGCCCTGCGGGATGGGGATCATGTCCACGCCGTCATCCGTGAGACTGCGCTGAACCAAGACGGAAAGACAACGACGATTTCTTCGCCCTCGATGGAGGCGCAACAACAACTCATCGAAGAGTGCTACCGCCGCGCCGGACTGGACCTTGCACAAACCGCGTACGTCGAAGCGCATATGACGGGTACAGCCACAGGCGACCCCATTGAGGCGGAAGCCATTGCGCGAACGTTCGGGCAGCGTCGCAGCTCGGACGACCCGGTGCTCGTGGGCTCGGTCAAGACGAATCTGGGGCATACTGAGCCCGTGAGCGGGCTGGCGGCCGTTATCAAAACCGCCTTTGCGCTGCAGCACGCATGCATCCCCCCGAATCTGAACTACGAGAAACCAAATCCGAAGATTCCGCTGGACGAATGGCACCTGCAGGTCCCGACGTTGCCCACCCAGTGGCCCCAGGATAAATCGCCGCGCGCATCGATCAATAACTTTGGCTACGGGGGCACCAACGCTCATATCATCATGGAAAGAGCTCCCACCCCCGCGCGACAAATCAACCGCGTAGTTGAACAGGACGAAAGTCTTTCCCGGGTCTTTCTCCTCAGCTCTCGTGACGAAGCCGCGACCAAGGCAATGAGCTCCCAGCTAGCCAGCTACGTGCGCGAGTCCGCTTCTTCCACGGGAAACAGCGTGAACTCCTTCCTCCTCGCCGACCTCGCCCACACTCTGGCGGAAAGACGGTCACGCTTCCCATGGTCGATCGCCGTCAAGGCGAGAAGCGTGGACGAGTTGGTGACGAGGTTAGAGGACCCGGGTTACCAAGCGACGAGGGCCATTCGAAACCCCCGTGTTGGATTCGTCTTCAACGGCCAAGGGGCTCAATGGCACGCGATGGGACGGGAGCTCATCTCCACATACCCGGTGTTTGCATCTGCGATTGAACAGGCAGATGAAATTCTGAGAGATTATGGCGCTTCATGGTCCCTTCATGGTGAGTTCACTGATGCCAAACCTAACATCCCATAGTGATGGCAGCTAACAAGAATCAGAGGAGCTTCTGCGGGACGAAGCAGCGACGCGTGTGCACGAGACCGCTTTCAGTCAACCGATCAGCGTCGCACTACAGTTATGTCTCGTGGACTTGCTCAAGTCCTGGGGCATCACACCTTCGGCAGTGACCAGCCATTCCAGTGGTGAGATCGCGGCTGCATATGCCGTTGGAGTGCTGTCGTTCCAAGAGGCCCTGGGCGTGGTGTACCACCGTGGCAGACTCGCGCAAAAATACCAGGAGCTCTCGTCACTCGTAGGGGGAATGCTAGCTGTCGGGCTGTCCGCGGACAAGGCCGAAGCCTACCTTCAGACGACCACTTCTGGTCGCGTCGTGGTGGCGTGCATTAACAGCCCCGACAGCGTAACGTTATCAGGCGATCTGCTAGCACTCGAGGAAGTGGCGTCGCGTCTCGAGCAGGACGGTTTCTTTGCTCGGAAGCTCAAAGTGCCTCTGGCCTATCACTCGCACCATATGCTGCTCATGGCCCAGGAGTATACGGAGAGTCTGTGGCACATTTTGCCTACCACGCGAAGTTGGACAGGAGCTGTGTTTTCCTCTCCTGTGACTGGCGGTATCATTACGTCCCCGGACATTCTGGATCCCGAACACTGGACGCGAAATCTCACCAGCCCCGTCTTGTTCGCCAAAGCCTTAGAGAACATGTGCTTCGACGGGACTTCGCAGTCCGCACCCACTCCCCAGGTCGATATCCTTGTGGAAATCGGCGCACACAGCACCCTTTCAGGCCCGATCCGAAAAACCCTCCAGCAGCGAATGATTCCGTATGTCTCATGTCTGAAAAGAGGTGTGAACGCTGTCGACACCATGCAAGATACAGCGCGCGAACTTGTCGTCCGGGGCTATGCGGTGTCCCTGGCCGCGGTCAATTTAAGCAACAGCGGGCAGGAAATAGGCCAGTTCCTGCATGACCTGCCCTCCTATCCGTGGAACCACACTGCCGAATATTGGTCCGAGCCCCGAATCTACCGCGAGCACCGGTATAAGCGCTTCCCGCCTCATGAGTTGCTGGGGACCCCCGTCTCCGGAGGCAACCAGTTGACGCCGACCTGGCGAAATTTCTTACGCGTCGCCCATGTCCCTTGGCTCGCGGACCACCGGGTGGATTCCAAGGTTGTCTTTCCTGGCGCGAGCTATGTCACGATGGCGATCGAAGCGATTCGACAGCTCACGGACAGCTCCGAGAGCAGCATTAGCGGGTATCGGCTGCGAGATATCGACATCACTAATGCACTGACGATCCCCGAGACTTCGGCGGGCGTGGAGACGCAACTGTGTCTCCGCCCATGTAGCGACAAGGAGCTGGACCATAAGGGCTGGTATGAATTCGAGCTCTGCTCCGTTGGGCCGGACGATACGTGGATCCAGAACTGCAAGGGCTATGTCGCTGTCGAGACCGTCCATCCCAATAAACGGACAGAAAGACAGACTGTGAGCGTATCCTCCTACTGGCCTGCTGGCGAAAAAGCGGCCCCTGTCGATCCGGAGTCGGTATTCGTGAGTCTGCGCAAAATGAACTTTCACCACGGTCCGACGTTCCAGAACCTGCTTGCCAGCCAGGCTGCGGGCAGTCGGTCCATCACCACGATGGCTCTGTCTACTGTGGTGCCGGGCATTGACGAGCAGAACTATGTCATTCATCCGACGACGCTGGACTCTATCGTGCAGTCCTTCTACGTCGACGTTCCTGCGGAGATGAAAGAGCGAGCGCAAGTGGTGCCCCGGTCCATTGGCTCCATGTTTGTGGCTCGAGACCTCAAACGACGCGCCGGGGACACGCTGCACGCCTTTACTGAGCTTATTCAAGCCGACCAACGCGGAACACGCTCTAAAGCCATTGTTGCCCATGGTCTTGACGAGTCAACCGGGTACCTGGAGATCAACGGCTTCCACTTCCAGGCCATCCCCCAGGATCACGGAGACGATGCAGGACCCGAAGACAAGCGACTGTGTTCTCGGATGAGCTGGGAACTAGATGTTCTGCACAACTTCCCAGCTTCTCTACGAGACCCTCTGAAGATCTACCTCTCAGAAGCGGATGTGGACTTTGAGAAGAGAATCCGCCGTGCATCCTACTACCTCATCTCTGACGCCGTCGCGGAGCTTGAAGGCCAGAGCCAAGATGGCTGGCAATGGCACCACAAAATCTTCTATAACTGGATGAAGGAGATCGTCGCTCAGGGTAAGGCCGGGACCCTAGCTTCCGGAAGCGCCAGCTGGTCCCGCGCAACAAAAGGCATCAAGCAGAGACTCTACGATCAGCTCTCAGCAGAGCAAGCAGCAGGCCGACTAACCTGCCGCGTCGGCCTGCTGCTCGCCAGTATCGTTCGCGGCGAGGTCACGCCTCTGGAGCTGATGATGGAAGGCAACCTTCTCAACGAGTACTACGAGGTCCTGCCAAAGCTCAAAGACCGGACTTACCGACAGTTGAAGCAGGTCGCCGAGCTCTACGCGGTCAAGAACCCCGGGGCGAATGTTCTCGAGATCGGGGCCGGGACTGGAGGCGCCACGACCGTGATTCTCGACGCCTTTGGAGCCCGGTCTGGAGCCGAGTCCGGCACTCTTCTGGGCCATTACGACTTTACGGATATCTCGTCTGGATTTTTCGGGGCCGCGAGGCAGAAGTTCGTGGCTTGGGATGGCATGATCGAGTTCAAGAAGCTTGATATTGAGACGGACCCTGTGGACCAGTCCTTCGAGACAGGGAAATACGATCTGATTGTTGCGTCGGCGGTCCTCCATGCCACTAAAAGCCTTCACCGGACCATGTCCCACGTGTGTCGGCTTCTCAAGCCGGGCGGAACGATGCTGATGATCGAAAACACCACCGATACGCTGGACATGCAGCTGATCTTCGGCACGCTTCCTGGGTGGTGGTTGAGCGAGGAGCCAGACCGAAAGATGAGCCCGAATGTGCCGCTTGAAACATGGGACTCTGTCTTCCGCGCCACCGGCTTTTCGGGCGTTGATTTTGAGATTTCCGACTGCGAAGAGCCGGAGTTCTCGTCTGAAAGCATCATCATGTCGACCGCTAAGTCCCAGCCAGCCTATCCGCCGTCGATGTCGATCATCTACTCCCAGGCTGCACCCCCACAGGAATGGTTGAACGAGCTGGCAGAGAACATTCAAACGCAATGCGGCTACTGTCCTAGCGTACAGTCCCTTGAAACTGTCGAACCTCAAGAGAACTGCGTGTATATCGCTTTACTGGACATGGAACGCCCCATCCTGAACGACATCGACAGCACCACTCTCGAGCAGGTCAAGAAGCTCCTGAGCAACAGTCTCGGGCTCCTGTGGCTCAGCAGCGGCAGCGTGATCGACGCCAAAAAGCCCCTGTTCGCCCTGGCACAGGGAATGCTGCGAACCCTGAAGCAAGAAGACACCGACAAGCGGTGCATCCAGCTCGACTTCGAGTCCACTGGCTGTCCCTGGACCGCGGGCAAAATCCCACACATCATGCACGTCCTCCACCAAAGCTTCGACTACCGTCGCATTCCCACAGAGATCGAGTGGGAATACGCAGTCAAAGACAGCCTTCTCCATGTTCCTCGCCATTGGCCCGACCGGACCTGGGACGAGGCCTCGAATGAAACCCACGTGGACCCTGCCCCAGAACCCCAACCTTTCTGGCAGCCTGGGCGTGCCCTGACGTGGGAGCCGTCCCACTCGGGTCTCCTGAACGAGATCTACTTCACGGATGCACCGGCGCTCGAGGGCGTGATCCCTCGCGGCATGGTGGAGATCGAGCCCAAGGCCTTCGGGCTCAACTTCCGCGACGTCATGGTCGCGCTGGGCCAGCTGGACGAGACTCTCGTCGGCCACGAATGCGCCGGTATCGTCCGGGGCCTTGGTCCCGGCTCCCACGAGAGCGGGCTTAAAGTGGGAGACCGCGTGTGTGGCATCGGCGAGGACCGCTTCGGGAGCACAACGCGCGCCTCGTGGACCAGCGTCGCCCGGATCCCAGACGAGATGGCCTGGGAAGAGGCTGCTTCGATCCCGTGTGCCTTTATGACGGCGTATATCGGGCTGTTTGATATCGCACGCCTGCAGAAGGGGCAGAGGGTGCTTATCCATGCTGCCACCGGCGGCGTAGGCCAAGCGGCTCTCATGCTGGCGCAGTGGGCTGGTGCTGAGGTGTTCGCGACTTCTGGAACAGCAGCGAAACGCGAGCTCTTGATCAACCACTACCACCTTGCGCCGGACCACATCTTTTCGAGCCGCGATCCGTCCTTCGCGGCAGGCATCATGGCCCAGACCAACGGCGACGGCGTGGACGTCATTCTGAACTCGCTGGCTGGGCCCCTCCTAAAAGCGAGCTGGGAGTGTATCGCGCGCTTCGGCCGCTTCGTCGAGATCGGCAAAGTCGATCTCGAGGCGTCCCGGCGCGTGGACCTGAGTCCGTTAGCCCGGTCCGCCACCCTCGCCGGCCTGGACCTGCTCCAGTACCTGCGGTATCAGCCGCAGGTGGTGCACCACGCCCTGCAAGCCTGCGTGCAGCTGTGCCACGCGCAGCAGGGTGTTCGGGCTGTGCACCCCATCACACCGTACTCCATGGCCGACATGGACCAGGCCATGCGGTCCATGCAGGGCGGTTCGCACACGGGCAAGCTGGTTCTGGTGCCCGGGGCAGAAGACCAAGTGCGCGTGGTCACTCGGCCGCGTCCACTACGGCTTGATCGCTCGGAGAGCACGTATCTCGTTGTCGGAGGACTGGGCGGCGTTGGCCGTGCCATTGCGCTGTGGATGATTGAGCAGGGCGCGCGCCATGTGCTGGTTGTGTCTCGCAATGCCGCCTCGCATCCTGACGCCGCACAACTGATTGACGATGCCAGAGCAGATGGATGCAACCTTTATATCCGCGACTGCGATGTTGCGGACGAGGCCGGCTTCCTGAAGCTCCTGGACGACTGTGCAGAGACGATGCCTCCGATCCGGGGTGTCGTGCAGGCCGCCATGGTCCTGGATGTAAGTTCTCCCCCCATTGACTCAACCTGTATCTATATTAACCGCCTCTTAGGACACGGTGCTGGAACGCATCACGCACAAGCAATGGCAGCGCGCCATTCTCCCCAAGGTGGCCGGCACCATGAACCTGCACCGCCATCTGCCCTCGCTCGACTTCTTCATCATGCTCTCGTCCATGACCGGCATCACCGGCCACGTCTCCCAAGCTAACTACGCCGCCGGCAACACCTTCCAGGATGCGCTGGCCCGCCACCGCACCGCCCACGGCCAACCAGCCGTCGTTCTGGACCTGGGCCCCGTCTCGTCCGTCGGGTTTGTCGCCGAAGCAGACGACGACGTGCGCGCGCGGGTCGCCCGGACCCTGGGATCGACTGTGCTTCCGCTCTCGCGCATGCTGCGCCTGATCGGCGAGGCGATCCGCCATCCACTGCGTGGACATCCCGACGACAGCCAGATCGTCACTTGCATTGCGCAGTATGATGGTTTGTCTGATGACATGGCAGCTAAGCGGGACCGGCGCTTCGGGACCCTGCAAGTCGGCACTGCGGCCGTAGGGTCTGCGGGCATCAAGACCACACCCGCTGGGATGGATTGGCTGGACGAGCTGGTGTATGAGCTGGCACACCAGGCAGGGGGCGGGAACGAGTCCAGGTCAGGGGAGCTGGTTCAGTCCGCGCTGGTGCGGAAGATCGGGGCCATGTTCCATGTAGCAGATGCGGAGGTGGAGGTAGATGTGCCCTTGTCGCAGCAGGGAGTGGACTCGCTGGTGGCGGTGGAGTTGCGCAACTGGCTGAGCAGTGTGATGAAGGCGCGGGTGACGATTTTTGAGATCTTGCAGTCAGGGTCGGTGGCTGATTTTGCGCGCATGGTGACGGCGCGGAGTGGTTTGATCACGGCGTAGATGGTGATATACCGGGGATGAGTATGGACTGGGATTCAACGAGATTACAACTATTGTATATCCATTGTTAAACATAAAATCAATATATTCGTTTCCATTATCTTCCCAAGCAGTCTGACATTCTCCTCATGTATCTTGAGATGTGCTAGAGTGGAGAGCTATTCCTCATTAATATCCCTATCCTATCTACTCATACCCCTGCAGCTCCTTCTCCGTCCATTCCCACACCTTCAGCCCCAGCACATCATCCTCTCCCTTCGGCGTCTGCGGGCCCCCAATCCCAATAGGCTCATAGTACTCCCCGCTCTTCACCTCCTTAGCCACAGACGCCCACAGCTGATTCCTAACGCCCTGGTCCACCGGCGTCACGACCTTATTCGCGACCTTCCCCAACACCCTAATGACCCACGGGCTCCCCGTCGCATTATTCATGAGATTCGTGCGCACCACGCCCGGATGGATCGACGCCAGCGTAAACTGCGGGTACTTGCGCGCCATCTGGCGCGTCCACAGAATGATCGCCAGCTTGCTCTGCCCGTAGCGACCGTAAGCGCCCAAGCTCTCGGCGTCGGTGCGCAAGGTGTCGAACAGCACGCCTTCCTTGGGGGCGTAGACGTGGCCGTGCGACGAGAGCGAGACAATGCGCACGTCCGCGTCCGGCATCGCAGCCGTCTTTTCCAGGACGGGAAGCAGCAGTTTCGTGAAGAGAGCGTGCCCGATGTAGTTCGTGCCGAACTGCAGCTCGTAGCCGTCACTCGTCAGGCCCGGCGGGGCGGCCATGATGCCGGCGTTCAGCATGAGGATGTCGAGACGGGTGGACTCGGCCGCGACGGTGCGGGCCGCGGTGGCGACGGACGAGAGCGAGGACAGGTCCATGGCGAGGGGCTTGATGGGGGGCGCGTTTTTGACCTGTTGGCGGATCTCGTCTGCCGCGGTCTGCGCTTTGTCGATGGTGCGCGCGGCCAGCCAGATCAGCGACGGCTGGTGGCGGGCGTATTCCAGGACGCATTGCTTGCCCAGGCCGATGTTGGCGCCGGTCACTAGGATGACTTTGCCGGCGAGCGAGGGGATGTCCTGCTCGGGGTTGAAGGGGAGGGATTTGCCGAAGAACATGGTGATGGTAAGATGCTTATTAGATGGTGTAGCGTCCTGCGCGAGTGTTGGAGGGGAGGTTATATACCCAGACAAGAGCTCGGGGGGTTCGGCCCGAAAGGCGCATTCGAATTATCAAGCTAGTAGACGTTTCTTTGTCCTTTTGGCCCCATCGACGATCATTACTCCCGACGGCACATCCGCATCCGCTCCACATGGCGATCTAATAGGCAGAGCATCACTGGGAGGAGTCTCGGATATCGAAGATCCGATGCAGTGGGGCATGTGAGACCACGCAGAGTCTCCGGTTTAGTTAGGTAAGCGAAGTAGAAGTCTCAGCTGGCGTGTGGTACAATATGGTTCTATTGTAGGAGAGACTGAACGCTGACCCTGGGAAGGGTCAGCGGGGATGAACTAAATACAGGCTGGCCCAGCTTCCGGGCGGTGAGCAGTACTATACTGCCACGATTCCTGAGGCACTAAATCGTGCCTCAGGTAGGCCTCGAGATGGAACCGCAAGACCCGCGTACCGCCCCGCCCCGCCCCTCCGCGGGGCGGTTCTTGGTGACAAAGTTTAGACCCGCGGGGCGGTTTCAGGATGAGTAGAACCGACCCTCAAAGTTGCGGTTCGACCCGGCGGGTCTACAAACATAACAAATATCTAAAACCCCGTGATTAGACCTTGACATTTCCCATGGGACTAGCGAAAATCTAGTCCCATGTCCATGGGACTTAGTCCCATGGGAGTTCCTACAGAGGTCTAGTCCCGTGGACCCACTCCCATGGGAGTAAAAAAAAAAATTGGTCCCGCCATGGGAATTCCCGTGGGACTCCCATGGGACTAACAAAATTTCCCATCTATACATTATTTCCATAATAATAATGGATAAATTGCTGAGTTATTATAATAAAATACGGTAATTTAAAGGTGTTTTAGCGAGTATTGAGACTAACAAATATTTATTACTTTTGATATATTTTGACCATAGTTTTGTGATTATTTAGTATATCTTTAATTTAGAAAAAAGCTATTGTAAATAAAATACCGTTCGGAACCGCCAAGAAATGCATTATTTATACAAGTCACGAGATAGCTAATGTTTGCATTGTTTACAGTCCCATGGGAATTCCCATAACTCCCATGGGAGTTCCCACGGGGGTCTAGTCCCGCCATGGGAATTTCCCATAGATGTTTAGTCCCATGGACCCACTCCCATGGGACCAAAATTAGTCCCACGGGAATTCCCATGGACAGTCCCATGGGAGGCGTCCCATGGGAAATGTCAAGGTCTACCCGTGATACGTATATTTTATGTAGAATCGGCCTATATTTTTTAGTATTTTGCTTTTAGCCTAGTCATATTTATAGATATTACAGAAGGTTTTAATATAACTATTCCTTTATTAAGCGTTAACTAATTTCTGCCGAAATAGTCTTTATTTCTACTAATTATATACAAAATCCTTATCCTATCTTAAGCGCTTTAGAACGCGCCTAGACGAACGCCGCTAAGTGCCACTTTCCTCCTATAAGTGGCTATTATTAGGTAGAGGAACCTTGTTAGTATTATCTAGTTAGATAAGATTATCTAACGTAGTCTCGGCTCGTCTCTTCCTAAGTGTACGCTTACTAGAAGGTTAGGTAGCTTTCTGAGGATGTCAGGGTTATAGGATCATGTGATAAGAGGAAAGGAAGTAATAAAGAAGAGAGTAAGAAGAATAAAGTGAGAGAGAAGAGTATAGTTATTTATTTCAGTCGGGGTATCACTCTCTATTTATGTTATTTCCCCTAGGTGGCAAATGCTCTTGCCACCTAGTTGATTTATCAGCATTGGTAATTTGATTTATCAGCAGATGCTTCTAGTTCTTTCTATTAGCTTCTATTGCCGATAGTATCCGAAGGTATTCGGTTATAGCCGAGATCTCGGTTCTTATTGGTTCGGGATCTTATCTTATAGATAAGATCCACTATATTATAATTGGTCTTATAGGAAAAAGTGGCTTTTTCCTACCCTCCATTATAAAAAGGGTTCTTTTATAGTCGTATAGACTTCTTATATTGATACCCCCCCGTAAGCTATATAGGGTAGGGTACTCTATATAGGTTATAGTATATAGTATATTGGCGTATTATTATTATAGTAGTATTTTTTATGGTATAGCACTTAGACCTAGTAGGTTTAAATGATATTGATATAATGGTGTTGCTAAACACTTAGTGAGTGTATCTGCCAGTTGGTCCTTTGAGCTTACGTGTAGTAGCTCAATTTGGCCAGTAGCTATAGCATTTCTTGTAAAATGATATATAAGCTCAATATGTTTACTTCTTTTGTGGAACTCAGGATTTTCAGCCAACTTCTTCGCAGACATACTATCCACTAGTATTTTTGGAATAGAAGTGGAATATCCGAGTTCTAGTTTCTTATTGATATAGTTGAGCATATTAGCTAAGTAAATAGCTTCTTTTGTGGCTTCTTTTAGTGCCATATATTCTGCCTCGCAACTACTCAGTGCGGGTGTTTTTTGTAATTGTGAATTCCACGATATAGGGTTATTTTGTCCTATAGTAGGACTAAGGCTAAAGATATAGCCTGTTGTAGATCTTCTATTATCTAGGTCATTCGCCCAGTCGCTATCAGAGTATCCTTTTAGTATAAGGTCTTCTCCAGCACAGTTTAGGGTAAGCCCTAGATTAGGGCTTCCTAAAAGGTATTTCCAGATTTTATTTAGTGCCGTAAAATGCTCGCTATTAGGATTGCTCATATAGCGTGCACAATAGATCACTTTATAGGTTATATCAGGCCTAGTTTTTAGTGCTAGGTATAGTAGTGAACCAATATGTTTTTGGTATATTTTGACGTCCTTAGGGTCTGCTATAGTGTCATTTTTTCGTAGTTTTGCCCCTGGTTCTCCTGGTATTAGAGTAGGCTTATATCTTGGGTTATTTATTATATTAAACTTTTGTAGTAGTTTTGCAGTATATTCCGACTGATTTATATATAGCATCTTTGTGCTATAGTTTATTTTTATAGTATTTCCTAAGAAGGTAGACACAGGGCCTATTTCTTCTAGTTTCACGTATTCTCTTATTTTATTAGTTATATTTCTTATATATTGTATATTAGGATGTATAGCCAATATATCATCAACGTGACATATTAAAATACAGCCTGTTTTATGGTTTATAAATATTCCTTCGTCGTACGGGAATACGTCGAATTCGAATCTTAGTAGTATAGTGGCTAGGTGTTTATACCATAGCCTAGGGCTCTGCTTTAGGCCATATAATGCTTTCTTTAAAAGGCAGCATTTCTTATTATTATTATATACCCCGATAGGTAGTATGGTATAGATATTAGCGTCTATATCGGCGTGAACAAAAGCGTTTTTCACGTCGTATTGTCTTATTTCCCAGCCCTTATTCACCGCTATTATCAGTAGTAGGTGCCAGGTCTCTGTTCTACACGTAGTAGAGAATGTCTCTAGGAAGTCTATTCCTAGTCTTTGGTTAAAGCCTTGTATAACCCAGCGGGCTTTGTATCTAATAGTCTTATCACTATTAGTTATATAGGACGGCTTTACACTATTAGGGTCTAGTATAGGTTTTTTCTTAAAAACCCAACGGCCTCTAATAGGTATAATGTTCTTTGGTATATCTATTATATCGTAGGTAGTAGTGGCCCGCCTAGGTCTGTATGTATTCGGTCTAATATATCGTATTCTATAAGATCAGATGAGTTCTTATAGATATATCTATTGTCTTTAGCTAAAAGGCATATTTTGCATTTATTAGCTATAAAGTTATTGATATCTTGTTGAGTTATAGTGATATTCTGGGCCCGTAACATATAAGTTAGGGCTTTTATATTGCAATGCCCTAGGCGTATATGCCATTGGGTCATTATTGTAAGATTATTAGTCTTTTTATCTTTTGCTGTTTGCGGAAGGTCTATTATTTTCTGTGCTATTTGAGCACTTTCAGTATTGTTAGGTAGTATTTGAGCTTCCGTATAGTATAGGTTGTTTTGTTTATAGCCAATTGCTACTATTCTTTTATGTTGATAGAGTATAGCCTTTCTAGGGAGAAACAGGCTTATGATATCTGGCATTTTATCAAGACTCATTAGGTTTACGCCTAATTGAGGTAGGTATAGCACGTTTTTTAACGTATAGATATAGTCTGTATTTGTTTTTATAGTCACGTCTCCCTTATATTCTGAGGTTATATTGTTTGCGTCTCCCCACCGTACAGTGGTCTTAATAGGTTTATAGGAAGTAAAATCTTGTATATTAGCTATAGTATTGATAGTAGCGCCACTATCAATAATAAAGCGTATTTTTCTATTTTTTCTAGCTAGTAGGTCACTGTTTTTTGTATTTTTTGTGTTTATAGGGTTTATTTCTCGACCCGTTATTAGACCATCTAGTATATTATTAGCGGTTTTCGCTATATATATATTTGAGACACATACCTCAGTATCCATATCATCGAAATTAAAATCGATAAGCTCATTGGCTGTTATAGTTTCTTCTTGATCTACCTGAGTAGGCTGATCAGATTCTTGAATTTGTGCTATAAGTGCGTCCTTTTTAGCGTTATTCATTTTACTGAATTCGCTTTTAGGGTATTCAGATCTTTTAACAACGCGATTTTTCGACGTTCGCTGTTCCCAACCACTTGGGGCTTTATTTGGGTGTAGAAACCAGCATATTTCAGAGGAATGTCCTGGTTTCCTACAGTTTTCGCAGAAAGACTGGTTGTTTTGTCCTCTTTTTATATATTTCTTACTAGTAAGAAAGGCTTTCTCACTAGTTTTCTCACTAGATATTGCTTCTTTGCCTCTAGCTTCATCAATCAAGCTAGAGGTCAGCGTATCTAGTGTATAGGCATTGGTATTGCCCCGGAAGGCCTGAGTTATATTTTGTACGAAAGGTTCGTACTCTTCTGTCAGGCTAAAAAGCGTGAAAGATATAACAACCTTTTCGGGAAGGCTGATACCCTGATTTTCAAGTTCACTCCT